TCTCTCTCTCTCTCTCTCTCTCTCTCTGTGTGTGTGTGTGTGTGTGTGTGTGTGTGTGTGTGTGTGTGTGTGTGTGTGTATGTATGTGTGTGTGTGTGTCCTTGTGTGCGAGGAGGTGATGAAGTTAGATAGGAGAGGATTAACCCCAACTACTACAAGTGTCACATCGTCATTCGCATAGGGAAAGACTCCGAAAGAGAGTATTTTGGAGCACATGGCATTGCCAGTTCAGCTGGCAACTATCCACAGTGATTCCACACACATACTCTATCCACTGTCATGCTTCTATCTTCGCTTACTTAGGGGAGACTTGTCCCGTTTCTTCGTGCCAGTGTTCCCCCATGCTGTCCACGACAAAGGAAGTGAGAAAGTGGATAGCATTGCGTGATTGCAAGGAAAAAAAGGAAACTGTAGAAAACAAAACAAGAAAGGTGGTATTTTTGTTGCACTTACTAAGAGTATGAGCATTGCATGATTGCAAGAAGAAAAGGGGGGGCAAAAAGGAAAAACCTGTAGAAAACAAAACCAGAAAGGTGGTATCTTTGTTACACTTACTACGAGTACTGACGTTACAAGAGGTAGCACAGTTCTGCTGTTGCGGTGGAAATCTGTCTTGAAGAAAACTGTGAAGACATCAAACGCGATCATTGCTGCTGCAAGTGGCAAAAGAATGACAGCAATAGCCAAGACAAATCTGCACATGTAGCCAAAGAGAAAAAAAGGGTCAAGATCACCATACCTACAAACGTAAACATAAACACTAAAGATGTTGTTGAAGAACCCCCAGAGAAACTTCAAAAACACCAGCCTAAGCTCCCCACAAATAGATGGAGCCTGCTTTAAACCACCAGTACTTCCTGAATTCGCTCCGCATATACGGCCAGCCAAAAGTGGAAACCGCGCTGTTTCCACTTGGCTTACCGGGCCAGGCCCGTTCATTCCAAATTTCGCTCCGCGTATACGGGAGCTTTTTCAGGAAGTACTGGTGGTTTAAGAAGAAAAGAAAAAAATACAAAAAGAGCGATATAGACAACAAGGACTATGGACCAGGTTGCCAGCATCCGGCAGAGTGAAGCCGCAATGATCATGATGGCGGATAAACATTCTGTGGTCGAGCCGCCGACTGGAGCGAGCCATGCCCGCATTGCCCGGGTTTCAAATTGTCAGGTGCAGTAACTCCAGCATCAGGCAGGACTACAACTGATAATAACACAAGTTCTACAGTCTTCCCCCGAATACAACGCACGGTCATTATAGCTGAATTTAGACTGAAAGATAGGCTAAGCCCAAATTCAGCTATAATGACCGTGCGTTGTATTTGGGGGGAAGATTGTAGTACTCAGTAGAGTCCAGTAGGATGTGAAGTCAGTGTTTTTTAGGGGGGGGGGGGTTCCCACCAAAAAAGAAAAGAAAAGAGGCTTTTTATTTATTATTATTTTTAAACTAAAAGAAATCAACTTTTTATTATGAAGTGCGGGAAAAGAAGGGATTATTTGCGAGATACCCCCGTAAGTTGAGATATATGACGAAATTGCCCTGAAAGATGTGGATAGAGCGGGTGCCCTTTTGGGCCAAGTTCTTTGTGTTATGCCCCTGTCAGGCTGGCGCACAAATTTGCAAATTTGCAATCGGGCCTGGCAACTACGGGGGCATTTTTGCAAAGTTGAATAGTACCCGGTTGGGGGAATATTGCAAAGATGGGGAGTCCAACAGACGCCAGGGGTATTTCACAAGATATTTTTTTTGTCAGAGGGGCCATTTTGGCACGTATCTCAACTAATGGGGGTATTTCCCATCTATTCACGTCTTTTAGGGCCATTTTGGCACGTATCTCAACTGATGGGGGTATTTTGCAGATTACCCTCCCCAAAAAAACATTTTTATATCTCAGGCCCTCAGGGCCCACTGCCCTGACCAAAATGCATGACAATACCTCTCTGATGGCTATCTCATGTAAATTGTTCATGGCACGCTGGGCCAAGTTGCCAGCAGGTGCAGCTCGCTATACACAGAGCGGACTCAACGGCGCAAATCCAGCAGAAAAAAGAGGATGAAGAACGGTGTGCACAAAAAATTTCACACTCCCTTTTTCTCTTTTTTATATACAACTTTCATTTAAAGCCGGCAAACGCGCCCAGCGTCCCTCACATGACTGCTGCAGCCCTCTCTCTCTCTCTCTCTCTCTCTCTCTCTCTCTCTCTCTCTCTCTCTCTCTCTCTCTCTCTCTCTCTCTCTCTCGGGATCGCGACAAGTTACTGTAGGGATCTCTGACTGCTATTTGTGATACTTCGCCCGATTGCCAGCGACGTCGTGTGCTTCGGGTTTGGCCGCTGCGGGCAGCAATGTCTACCCCACAGGACCAGAGGACTATGGCAGGTGTCATCTTTGATTGAACAGGGGCCAGGCTAATCATCAATCTTCTCTGTATCGTTCCCTTTTCTTTCTCTCTTTTATTATCCGATTCGTTTCAATTTGAATAGCCTTAAGAGTCATTTCCCACACGTCGAAATATTTCCAATCTTTTCTCCATCAAGAATAACAAACTCTTTTGTTTGTCTAAGTGAGAATACGTTTTTTGTTTTTTGTTTTTCCATTTTCCATAAATAGTTAGATAACTTTGTAACCGCTCATCACTTGTATTTCTTTTTGAAAATTGACGTCCCGAAGAACTTTCGACTCTTCTTCTTCTTCTTCTTCTTCTTCTTTTTTTTTTTTTTTTTTTTTTTTTTTTGGAAGATGAGAAAGAATTTGGACCATTTCTTAATTTATGTGTTCCTTCCTTG